CAACTTACTGTCTTTGTGAACATCCTTTTCATGTGGGTAAATTCAAATTTACCTCATTCTGAATTGTATTGATATGCCAGCTTTCCACCGATGGACATTTAAATTGTTTCCAGTTTTTCATCATCACAAAGAGTGCTGCAGTGACCATTCTTGCACATACACCTTTGCACATTTGTGTCAGCAACTTTTCCTAGAAATAGAAAAGATAGATACATTGGAAATGTTCATCAGTATTACTAATTTGCCCTCTTAAAAAGTTCTATATTGTAAGCTGTTTTCACTATTTCAAGATATTTGATGGAAATTGGGCAGTGTCAACTATAGCCTAGCGGTTAACTGAAATATCAGCTTTCTTAGTGTTTGACTGTAGTTGTATGACCTTGGTTATTTTGTGCCTGTCAACTGGCAGGAGATAATCAGCAGTTCTGACTTCTGATGAATAAAGGTAAAATATCACTAATGAAACATGCTTTATGGGCTGCATATTTCTAAATGTTATCTCTCTTTAGAACCAATAAAAGAAGATGATCTGGGTTATCAACAGGCTGGGAACCATTGCTCTCCTAGACCATCCTTCAGGATTAGGATGGAGAGCATAGTTGGGTTTATTGTGAGGGTAGCTTTGTCAAGTGCTGACATGAGGCACGGGAGCTGGCAGCTGGGACTGAATGGGCAGTCATGAGACCAGGAGACTGGTCAGAGCCCTGACCTTGACTGTCTATTGTGGGACCATGGGCAAAGCTCTTAGCTTGAGTTTTTCCATTTACACAAGGGAAGTTATCAAGTCCTCTTTTTTTTTGTTTTTGTAAATACTTCTTTTTTAAATCTATTTATTTATTTTGAGACTGGATTCTGAGACTGGCTAAGTTTTGTATTTTTAATAGAATTATGTTTCACCATGTTGCCAAAGCTGGTCTCAAACTCATGGGTTCAATCAATCCACCCACCTTGAGCTCCCAAAGTGTGGGATTACAAGTGTGAGCTACCACGCCTGGCCTCAAATCCTCATTTTATCTAAGCAAGTTTGTGAAGGGAAAATAAGTTTAAGTTTGAGAAAAGTAGCTGAACCTGGCTTAAAGCAGGTGGAAGAAAATTTCAGGATCGAGCAGTTTTCTATTGTATGTCAAGAGATGGGTTACATTGTCTCTGAAATTAATCAGGGGGTGGTGGCAGGTAGTTTTGTTTTTTAACAGGCAGGACAGAATGTTCCTACTTTTGCCAGTGTGGCAATTTGAGATAGGAAGTGTGGTTGAGTTTTGTACTCCAGAAAATGAGAAGCCCTGGTTGTAACAGATGTGCATGAGTGTGTTCCAGGAAGAGGTGAGAGGTGCGTTGCTGGAGGGCTCTTGGGAGGTCCCTGGTGGATATAGTTTTTTTTGTTGTTAGCATTCTCTGTCCACATGGGTAAACATAGAGCAGCTGGTTCCCTGGTTGCCTTCAGAGCAGCTCCCAAGTATCAGTTCATGTTAAGCTTTAGGGAGGGTAACAGGACCTTTGGGGGAAGTGCCTAATGGGCTGGAAGGTGTGGACACAGCAGGCCTAGGAGTGAAGGTAATGAGCCAGATCCTGGGGGATTGAGAGGAGGCATTGAGCTGAGCTGGAGAAAGTGAAGACCCAGGGGATTTTACTACTTAAACCTGAGGCAGCTGATCCCATGCAGAGGCTATCTGCCTGTTAGGGGTCAGTGATCAGGGATTAATGCCAGCTGAGGCTGCAGGATACAGTGTGCTTGCCTTTGAGTTCCCTATTTGGACAGAGATGAAAATCACTTATGTGGCTCTTTTACCTACCTTGGAGAGGCTCCTGCTGAGAATCAGGAATTTTCCATGTGTACAGTGGGTAAAGGGCTAACAGCCAAACCCTCTGACCCCAGGTCTGGGCCTCCACTTCTTCCTCCTCACCACTAGGGTCATTCTGATCCTTGCCAAACACCCTTAGGAAACTCTTCCTTCCGAGGTTGGTTCTCTACCCAGGCCCCTCCACCCACTTCTCCACTGAGATCTTTTTACGTTTATTTCTCAAAAAATGAAAGTTGTATTGTATTTCCCATGTAAGTACCTCCAACTTACGGAATAGTTTCTTAGTCACACAAGGTCACTTTAGCCCCAGGCAGAGAGGCAGCCGCAACTTGCAGGGCACCTTCTGGGAGGCAGTAGTGGGAAGTGGAAGGGAAAGATATTTCTTCCTTTTATGCCATCCTGTGCAGGGCCTTCCCTCATTGGAGCCGGCAGAGCCTGAGCCATCCCAGGTGACCTCAGTGCGGTTCTTGGCCCCAGGACAGTGGCTGGCAACAGTGCAGGTCCTTCTCCCACCTCTCCTCTGCAGCAGGATGGGCCGGGAGGAGCCAGCCCCTATGAGCAAAGTGATGAGGAGCCTCTTTTTATGGAGAAAAGCTTCAAGGAAGCACAAAGATCACTGTTCTAGTGCCAGCTGTACCCTTGACTCATTATGTGTCCCTAGACAAGTCAGCTATCCCCTGGACATCATTCGCCCTGCCTGTCCAGTGAGACTTATCTCTGCAAATGAGCACTCCCGAAGTAAGTTAATTTACTAAGGAAGGGTAAACTGAGGACTGTTAATGCTTCTCAGTTGTCTTGCTTTTACGTGGGCCATGGTGGCAGGTTGGCCCTCATGCCCTGTGTGGGCTAGCTCTACCCTGAAGTTTCCTGAGGTCTATTCAGAATGTGTATCAAGTAGGCTTTCCCACTCAGTCTCCCTGTGGTTTAGAAATTCTGGCGTAAAGAGGAGCTCATGGCCTGAGTGCAAAGGCCAAAACAGCTTGAGGCAAGGCTTTCTGCAGTGGACAAGCTAATTCTTATGCATGGTTCTGAAGGGATGAGTGGGATCCTGGAGACAGAAACTCCATTGGGCCTATTACAGGAGCCAGCTCAGTTCTGTACTGGTAGAACCTCCAAGCATTAGACCTTCCTTCACAGCTGTATCGTTTTTATATTGCCAGGCATTCTTCTGTTAAGGAGGATGTCATTGCTTTTTTTCTTTCTTTCTTTTTTTAAGACAAAGTCTTGCTCTGTTGCCCAGGTTGCAGTGCAGTGATGTGATAATGGCTTACTGCAACCTTGAATTCCTGAGCTCAAGCAATCCTCCTGAGTAGCTGAGACTATAGGCGCACACCCCGACACCTGGCTAAGTTAAATTCATATGTGTGTGTGTGTGTGTATGTGTGTATGTGTGTGTGTGTATGTGTGTGTGTGTGTGTAAGTGTGTGTGTGTGTATATATAAAGAGACAAGGGTGTCTCTATGCTGCCCAGGTTTATCTTGAACTCCTTGCCTCCAGAGATCCTCCCACCTCAGCCTCCCAAATAACTGGGATTACAGGCATGAGCTATCATGTCTGGCCCTGCCATGGTTACTTACTTTCTTATCCTTGCCACTTTTTCCCCTTTCTACCTTGGGTACCTCAGTGAAGACCTCAGACATGGAGAGGAGACGTGTCTTGGTTTGGGCATTTTCTGGAAGTCTGCTCAACCCTTTAACTCTGTTTCAGGAGGCCTGCCTGATATCTCCTTGTCTTCCCAGACTTCCTGAACCTTTGCTTTTCTAGAGGTTTATGAAGATAAAATGAGATTATGACTATGAAGTTCGTAGCTCAGTGTATAAACCTTAGTATGCCCCTAGTCATTTCATTTTATTTTGTTTCATTTCCTTCTAGCGTGGGCCTCCTACATGACCAACTCCCCGACTCTCATCGTTATGATTGGTTTGCCAGCCCGGGGTAAAACCTACGTGTCCAAGAAACTAACACGCTACCTCAACTGGATTGGAGTGCCCACCAAAGGTAAGTGTGGCTCATTCCTCAGGAAGGGAATTTCTTAGTTCCTGGGCCTCACAGGTCTCTGCGAGACTTATTCTTCCTGGCATCAATGCTATAGGGTGCTTCTGGAAGAAATAGCAGTTGCTTTCTGGTTTACTGGAGTTATTCTCTGTTCCCAGACTTGTCTCCTTCTGGCATGGGTGGATTGGCCTAGTTTTGAGGGAATGCCTTTGATAGGACTATTCAGATTTAGAAGAGCATAGGGCTGTACATTTTCAGAGGTGTTACATGTATGTTATCCAACCCTAGCAGTGTCTCTGCGAAATAGAGTTGCTGAGGAAATGGAAACCTCAGACAGCTTAAGACTTGTCCAAGGTCTAGAAAGTCAGGACTTGAACCCAACTCTTTTGACTCTTAATCTGATGCTTTTTCCAACCTGCCATGCTGCTTTTTTCATCCCCTTGGCCACTCCAACATTAGGCCAAGCAAGAAGTTCCATTTGGTGGGGCCATCATATTGTTTTGCTGCTGAAGGATTTGGGTGTCTTCTGCAGTGTTTAATCTTGGGGTGTATCGGCGTGAAGCTGTCAAGTCCTATAAGTCGTACGACTTCTTTCGGCACGACAATGAGGAGGCCATGAAGATCCGCAAGTGAGTCTTGTTTAAAGCCTGATCTCCAGGTCAGCTCTTTCTCGGCTATTGTGAGACTCGGTGTGACAGGGCTTGGTTTCATCTCAGTAAATATCTTATGGGGAAGTTAAGTGGAAGTTACCTGATGGGCAAGTGACCTTAGGCTTGGGTGGGCAGAAGAACAGGACTCAGGGCGATACCTGTGTGCTTGCAGGAGAAGTCTAAAGAGGGATAAGATCTGTGCATTGGGGCAGGGACAGGAAGGGGTTATAGGATGGTGTGAAGAGCCTCAGTGAGTAAGCTGAAAGATCTAGTTAGAGGAAGGTTTTCAGCAGTGGGAAACTAAGTGGGTAGGGATATGACTCCTGTAGCCACCCGAATGTTTGTGTCTCTCACTGTGTTTGAGCTTAGCTCTCCTTGCTGGTTTCATTTGCTCTCCTGGCAGACAGTGTGCTCTGGTGGCGCTGGAAGACGTTAAGGCGTATCTCACCGAGGAGAATGGTCAGATTGCGGTAAGCTGTACCTGTTTCTGCTTCTTTCTGGTCCCCACCCTTGTAGCAGCCCGGCTACCCAGCCCCACCTTGAGTCTGCCCTGGTGGGGACAGACTCTGTTCCATTTCTTTGTTCCTGCTCATTTACCTTGTGTGCGTTCTTCACAGGTGTTTGATGCCACCAATACCACCCGGGAGAGGAGGGATATGATTTTGAATTTTGCTGAACAGAATGCCTTCAAGGTAGGATCTAACTCCATGCTGGGGGAAAAAGGATGAGTAGAGGTGGGGAGCCAGGCTCTTTGACTCTAGTGAGTGAGGGCAGGATGGGATATCTGAACCTCTTCTCTCAGAGCATACCCCCAGTCCTTGAGTGTTTTCTTTCAGACCTTTAGCCTGTGTGTTTGAGGCCCAGGGGATGTGGTAAGAGCTATGAGGAGGACGTGAAGGCCACTTTCATGAAGAAAATCCTGGGAGATGTGGTGGCTGGGTGGGATAGATGAGCATGTGCTCTTAATTGACAGCCTGATATTTTCGACTTGCTTATAACTGCCTTCTCTCCATGGCCAGGTATTCTTTGTGGAATCTGTCTGTGATGATCCTGATGTCATTGCTGCCAATATCCTGGTGGGTGACACCCCTACCTGTCATCTCCTCTTCACCTTTTGTGCTACGTGTGTGTGTGTGTGTGTGTGTGTTTTCTGTGGGGAAGGGGTGTTTTGGGTAATGAAAGAGAGAAATGGACATGTTTAACATCTCAAAGAGATCTTTTCTATCTGCCAGAGCACCATCTGGTACTTCTATGCTCTTCTCTTGGGAAAGGAAACTGGGGTTTTAGGGAATCAAGTAAAAATTAGCTGTTGAATGGAAACCAGGGTTTAGGTTGTAGGAGTCTCGGTACTGTGTTCTGCGTATTATCTGGGTGCTGAGACCTAGATGTTGGAATAAATCAGCTGGGTATGGTGGCTCACGCCTGTAGTCTCAACACTTTGGGAGGCTGAGGTAGGTGGATTGCTTGAGCCCAGGAGTTCAAGACCAGCCTGGGTAACATGGGCAAAACCTTGTCTCTACAAAACCCACAAAAATTAGCTGGGTGTGATGGCACATCCCTGTAATCTTAGCTAGCTACTTGGGAGGATTACCTGAGCCTGGGAGGTCAAGGCTGCAGTGAGTTGTGGTTGTGCCACTGTACTCCAGCCTGGGTGACGGAGTAAGAACCTGTCTTTAAAAAAAAAAAAAAAAAAAAGGAATGAATCAGACTCTTCATTTCAGGACTTACCTACAGGAAGGTTGTCTCCTCAGCAATTGTCCAGTGTTCCAGTCAGTGTTCTATACATCGAGCTCCTCATGCCCTGTGGGGTCACAGCATAAGATAGTCCACATTGGATGGGTTGTGCTCTGCTAGGCTGAGTAGATATCCATACATGGTCTCATGCAGGTGCTCTCCCAGCAACTGGAACTTGGGATCATCTGAGGAAGAGGCATCTGGTCCCAAGTCAGGCACTGGGGTCATGTACCCTATTCTGAGTGGTAATGGGGAAACACTGGAGCCTATTCTGTTTTCTCAGGAAAGTACATAAAGGGATTGGGGCCCAGAAGCAGCTTCGGCTGCATGACTGCCTCTGTCCTGCAGCCAAGTGCAGGCACATGACTCCCCAGTTGTCTTTACTTTTTTGGTTGCCAGGGTCACAGGATGGGGGAGGGGGTACTCAATGAGTGGAGTGCCAGTGTTCCAGTGAAAGGCGACTTTTATGGGGTTATTTTTCTTTTTATAGCAGTGGCTATTTGTAGGAGGGCTGTTAAGGGCAGGCCTCTGACGAAGCCTTTACTGTTCCTATGATTTTAGGAGGTTAAGGTGTCCAGCCCTGACTACCCTGAAAGGAACAGGGAGAACGTGATGGAGGACTTCCTGAAGAGAATCGAGTGCTACAAAGTTACCTACCGTCCCCTTGACCCAGACAACTATGACAAGTAAGGCTTAAGGCCATGGTTTGAAGGGCCCAATGCAAAGGTCTCATCTGGGAAAATAACCTTTCTCCCCCTATTCTCTAACTTCCTTCTGATAATCCAAATCTATAATGTTAACATCACCCCAGGGAAATAAGGTATGGATTTGTGGCTTTTATATGGGTTGCATCTCGTACACGAAAACCGAAGTGGTTTTTTTTGTTTCTGTTTTTGTTTTTGAGATAGGATCTTGCTCTGTCACCCAGGTTGAAGTGCACTGGCGAAATCAGGGCTCACTGCAATAGCTGCCCCCTGGGCTCAGGTGATCCTCCCACCTCAGCCTCCCGAGTAGCTGGGACCACAGGCGTGTGCCACCATACCTGGCTATTTTTTGTATTTTTAGTAAAGATAGGGTTTCCCTATGTTGGCCAGGCTGATCTTGAACTCCTAAATTCAAATGACCCAGCCGCGTAGGCCTCCCAAAGTGCTGGATATTACAGGTATGAGCTACCATGCCTGGCCGGAAGTGTTTTTTATCATTAATTTTTTTCTCTCTAGTCTCTAGAGCATGATTTCCTCAATCTCAGTGTTGTTGGCACTTTGAACTGGGTGATTCTTTGTTGTAGGAGCTGTCCTGTGCATTGTAGGATGTTTAGCAGCTTCCTTGGCCTTTGCCGACTAAATGCCAGTAATACCTCCCAGCTGTGACAACCAAAAATGTCTCCAGACATGGCAGATGTTCCCTGGGGGTTAAAATCACCTCTGTTTGGGAACCACTGCTCCATATCTCAATGCCAGGCTTCATGCCTGACTCAGAGAAATATCTGATCAACGCCAGCCATCATTACTGTGGAAGCATCTGTTGGTAGCATGGTATAGAATATAGATTAACTTGTCATGTGTGAGGATGTTAGCTGTAACACAATACCAAGTCCATGTTGAAGAAAGATGGTGTACACATAGAAGTCTACAGGAATGTGGTCTCGTAAAAAAGCATGCATTTAGGGCAGTTAACAGCTCTATTCAAATAATACAGACCTGCAGCCAAGCAAATGGCCCATTTAATGTGCATGGCACACTTAATACAGTCGTCTGTTTAATGTTTTGAGCCTTTCAGTTCCTTCAAGTGGGTTTCCCAGGATCCCCTTAATATGGAGACTGAAAACCACCTCTTGGTGGTTTGGAATGAAAGTATTCTTCAGCTGGAACAAAATCTCACCTAGAAAAACATTCAGAAGAATACACACACACACACACACACACACACACACGTCTCTACATATATATACATGTGTATGTTGGTAGATGTTACCTCTGGCAGTAGGGTGATGGGTGATTTGTATCTTTCCATCTTTTTTTTTCTGAATTTTTGACTTAAAATAAGCACTTACAACTGATTTTTTTTGGGGGGGTGGGGGCCGGAGTGTCCTGGTGCAATTTCAGCTCACTGCAACCTCTGCCTTCCTGGGTTTAAGCGATTATCCTGCCTCACCCTCCCGAGCAGCTGGGATTATAGGCACCCACCATCACACTTGGCTAATTTTTGTATTTTTAGTAGAGACAGGGTTTCATTATGTTGGCCAGGCTGATCTCAAACTCCTGACCTTGTGATCTGCCCACCTTGGCCTCCCAAAGTGCTGGGATTACAGGCATGAGCTGCTGCGCCTGGCCATACTTACGACTTTTATAAAGAGAACAATCCCATGTTGGCCTCAAGGCAAGCAATATCTGAAAGTATCTTTCCGAGAAGCGTGATGAGGCAGACGCAGGGAGTGTGTAAGACACTGCTGTTTCTGCTTCTGCTCCCTCCTCCCTTCCCCTCATTGCTTGTCATGCCATATTCTGCCCAGGTCTTGACTGCCTCGAATGGGACTTATTCTTCTCACCAAATTTCAGGCTTAGCAAAATCTTCAGGTCACCTAGTCTCTAGCCCTTGATGGGAAGCCTGAATCCTGTTTATCATATTTATATACATTACATGGCACAGTACAGGCACTGAGGAAATGGTACAGACTGACTAGAAGTTCAGGAAATTGTACTCCATTTTGGTTTTAAGGAGTAATTAATCTCCTACCATTTGATTCCATAAATGTGGGTGTGACAGGGGAGTGGAGGAACAGCAGCTGGGAGCCTGCAAGTCCCTGTAGAAATCCTTTCACTCTGATTCTTATTCTCAGATTTTCATACACAGGGAATTTTTTTTTTCTTCCCTGTCCCAGGGATCTTTCTTTCATCAAGGTGATAAATGTGGGCCAACGATTTTTAGTCAACAGAGTCCAGGACTACATCCAGAGCAAGATAGTCTACTACCTCATGAATATCCATGTCCAGCCTCGTACCATTTACCTTTGCCGGCACGGAGAGAGCGAGTTCAATCTCTTGGGGAAGATTGGGGGCGACTCTGGCCTCTCGGTACGGGGAAAGCAGGTGAGTAATTAGTCAGCAAACTGGATTTTCTAGGCTTAGAGTTAGAAGGGCATGGCTGAGGTCATCTCTTTTATCTCCTTACTTAAATCCCATTTGGACTTAGGATGTGGTTTCATAGTCAAGCAGGTGATCAAGTTGTGCTCTTGCTACTGTGTCTAGCTTTGTATTGAAGTGTAGTGTAGATAACTTGGACCCATTTCTGCTGTGATCATTCAGCCATCAGATACTTATTGGGCATAACTTGTGTACTCAGCAATATACAGGGTGCTCCAGTGAAAGTTCATTTCCTCTTGGGTTTATACCCAAGAGGATTTTGACCATGGTAATGCATGTTGTCCATTAAAGGCCAAGTTAGCAGGCCGTGTGTGTGTGTGTGTGTGTGTGTGTGTGTGTCTGTGTGTGATTTTTTTCCCTTATTTTTTACTTTTAAATTCCAGTTTGCCCAAGCTCTAAGGAAGTTTCTGGAGGAACAGGAGATAACAGACCTCAAAGTGTGGACAAGCCAGCTGAAGAGGACCATACAGACTGCTGAATCTCTTGGGGTGCCCTATGAGCAGTGGAAGATTCTGAATGAGATTGATGCTGTGAGTAGGAAACTCTGAAGGTCCAGAAAAGGCAATGAGAGTCTCGTATTCAGGCAGGAACTCTGAGAAGTCACTGTTTGGACAGTTTTATCTAGGAAACTAGAACCACCAAGTAAAAACTCTGAGGAAGCTGACTCTACCGCCAGTTCAGAGGCTCAGGGTGGACAACTGTACCTCCAATCGGGAGGCTCCTGCCTGCTTCAGTACCTGTGCCAATTATGGGACCCAAATCAATTTTTGAGCCAGGCTTTCTGGCACCTGGGGAAAGTGGGACTAACAAGGACTCATTTTGTTCCTTTGTATATTTGCTGCCTGGGAAAAAGAAATAGCTAATAACCCACTTCTTCACTTTCTGCTGAAATCATTTGGTCAGCTATTCAGGAAAAGTTTTTCCCAAACTTTCTCTTGGCTTTCTCTCTTCTTGAGAACAAAAGTAGACATTTCTTTTTCTTTCCTTCCTTCTACCCTTTTATTTTTCCTGCAGGTCTCCAGTCCCTTCAGTTTCTCTCCTTCTCTGCTTCCTGTTCCTTTGAGCCTCTCGACTTTCTTGACCTATAAGTTCCCCCCAGTAGTAGGAGAACATGGTAGCTTGAGCTAGAGAAGTTGCTTCCTCCCTGCAGTGGTCCTCACCCTGCAAGTCACAGACACTCTGTGACACTCTGGTCACAGGCGGCTGTAATATGTGAAATGACCCAGCATAGTGCCTGGCACGTAGTGAGAAGCTAGCATTCTTCGGTGTCATCTTCCTTATTTGAGATGGGGCTGGTATGAGACAGTCTACCTCTTCAAGCCAGGTTCAGGTGGTTTTTTGCAGGGCGTGTGTGAAGAGATGACCTATGCAGAGATTCAGAAGCGGTACCCGGAAGAGTTTGCACTTCGAGATCAAGAGAAGTATCTGTATCGATATCCTGGTGGGGAGGTAAGACCCCTGTCATGTAAAGTGGCTGCCTGGGCCCTTGCTAAGGGTTTAGCTTTAATTTGGGGGAAGGACTGAATGTGATTTGGAGGGTCTAGGCATCATTTATCTTCCTTCCCTTGGGTCATTGCAGTTTCATTGAGCTTAGACAATCGAATGCCTCGTTAATTGTTAACAGTCCCAGGGATAAGGGTGACAAAGGCATCCTCTGTGTTCAGTATGTTTTAGAATCTACACAGTCATTTTTACTTCTTGTTTTCCGTGTACTCCCTCAATCCCACCTCCACATAAGCAAGTGGAGTCACCAAGTAAATGTATGGGTTAGGAATTATTTCCCGATCATCTTCAGTATTTTCGGCTATTTCCTTGTCAAAGTGGCTTCCATACTCTAGGGATGTGTGAGGCAAAAGTAAATAAAACTGAACAGGAAATCCCTAGAAGTCTCTTGTTGTCTCCTGCATGTATTAATCTGTGGGAAGAAAAAACACACACACACAAGTTGAACTAACACTTCCTCATCTTAACCTATAGTTTTCTTGGTCTGAATATTGCTCTTGAAAGATCCGAGTTTTCTCAAGAGATATCAGGGCTAGGGGCAGTTAGCAGGTGATAGTGGTGCAGTCACTGAGCCTCCAGGAGGAAAGCCAGCTGAAGAAGAAGTGGCCCTTAGACTCCAAGGTCCAGCCACTGACTTGGCTGGCAGCTTGCACCTGGCCTCCTGCCAGCCTGGCCCATTTCCCTCCACAGTCATACCAGGACCTGGTGCAGCGGCTGGAGCCTGTCATCATGGAGCTGGAACGTCAGGGCAATGTCCTCGTCATCTCCCACCAAGCTGTCATGCGCTGCCTTCTGGCCTACTTCTTGGATAAGGGCGCAGGTGCCTTTGAGAGAGGGACTGGGAGCCACAGCTGGGCGAGGGGCCGGACTCACAGTGGCACCAGGACTCCTGGGAAACAGATCTCCCTGTCTTCCACTCAAATTAGAGTACTTTCTCCAGGCAGCAGTGTGGGGCTCCCAGCAGCCACTGAGTCAATGACTTGCTGAGTTCACTCTACTGCTACAAGAGCTTCCAATGGAGAGTGTCTGCTGCTGGTGCTCCTTGATCCTGCCTGGTTTAGGGGCCAGTGTCACACTGACACTCCTGGCAGCATCAGGACAGTGGTTGAACATTCCCAGCCTGCCACGCTGCCTACTAGGCGGGTAGTCTCTTAGGAGCAGCAGTTGTTTCTGGGTAAAGGCAGTAAGAAGGTGCCACTGCCTTCTTCCATATTTCCCTTCCTGATCTTCTGGAGCTACTGAGAAGCCTGCATTGTGGAGGCTGAGCTCAGCATCCTGAGCTGCTGGGAAGCTGTTGTGGCAGGCATTACTGGCCTTTGCTGTACCCAGATGAACCCCTTCCGTGGGGCTCTCTGGCTACAGTACTTCTTCCTGATTTGCCTGCATAGAATGATCTAAGATGGCCTTATTTCCTTCCTTAGCCACGTAGAAGGTTGGGCGGCTTTGTGTTCTGGGGTTTAAGGGAGGAGTCGTATAACTCTAGGAGGTGGTCAGGGTAAGGGAGACTCATTATGATCTCCATAGGGTCTCCCTTCCATTAACTTGACCTTACTCCATAATACTAAGAAACTTCCCTCACCTGGTCTTTCTGCTTTCAGATGAGCTACCATACTTGAGATGCCCTCTCCATACCATCTTCAAACTTACTCCTGTGGCCTACGGTAACTATGCGCTTAGGGGCTGGTGGGAGCTGGGAATTGAGGAAGGTCAGAATTTTCTCTGAAGTTTGTCTACAGTTCAGCTTCATTATCCCCATGTACTTATATATTCCATCAGTGCCTTCTGTTTTTAAAGTTACATGTGCGTGACTGTATGTATTGCAGAATGCATACGTTCCTTTGTGGTATGCTTTCCCATAATGAAACTAAGGAATTTTCCACCTGGGAAAAAGAAATAGCTAACAACCCACCTCTTTACTTTCTGCTTCTTCCTTAAGGCTTCTCTTTCCTCTGTTTTCTCAGGGTGCAAAGTGGAAACAGTTAAGCTTAACGTGGAGGCCGTGAACACACACCGCGACAAGCCAACTGTGAGTATTTTCCTGTGGTGAACACTCCCATTTCCCTGCCACCTTGAGGCTTTGAAGCTTTGGCATTAAGAGCCTGGGGTTTCTTTTATGTACAAAAGGGAACAGATTCAGAACTTATGTTTTACATAGTTTGCTAGGTCTGAAAGAGATGTTGGAATTATTATTTTTTAAATTAGTACCCATTTCATGAGTCTTAAACTTGAATGTTGGCCCCTGGAAATTCAATTAAATATGGAAAGCATTTGGCTGAAGAGAAATGCCAAATTACCACCCCCTCCAACCCCAAGTGTTCCTTCAGAAAGTAGAGTCCAGAGGAGCCTATAAGGTTGGGGACCAACAGGCAGAGGTTCATTCCTGGGTCTGTCCCTGGTTCTGTGTGGTCTTCAGTAAGCCTCCTTCTTCTCTTTGGGTCTTTTTCCTGCTTTGGAATATTATGCTTCTCCCCTTTAGCTCCCTGGTGCTAGGAGGCCAGGTCACGGCCCATGCCCTCTGAGGGACCCTGTGTGCAGAGGAGCAGGAGTGAGGAAAGCTGTTGTGGTTACAAGCACGTTATTAACCTGTATGAGTGAGCTTTTGGCTTGGCTTTCATTTGTGTGGTGTCGCTCCATTTCCAATCAGAACAACTTCCCCAAGAACCAAACCCCTGTAAGGATGAGAAGGAACAGCTTTACGCCTCTGTCCAGTTCGAATACAATAAGGCGTCCAAGAAATTACAGTGTTGGGAGCCGGCCCCTCAAGCCCCTCAGCCCTCTCCGTGCCCTGGACATGCAAGAAGGGGCCGACTAGCCGAAGACCCAAGTCAGCATTTCGGTGGTGTGACTGTGTGTTTCCCTCCAGCCCTGGCCTCCTGCCCTTGTCACTAATCATCAAGGAGTCATTTAACTTCCTCCCTCTACCCCCACCCCTGACACTTCACCATTAATCTTAACATAGAACGTGAGGTTATGTGTTTACAGGACAACCTTAGCTGTTCTCCAGTCTGAAACATCTTTCCACCCAGGGGCAGGTTAGCAAATTGGGTCTTTCAGGAAAGATTCTCAGATGGAATGGTCTGGAGGAGGAGGAAAAAGATACATTCCACTGGGGCTGAACATGCCCCACGCTCTTGGTTCTTCTCTGTGTTCCCTGGTGTCTTACTTCACTAATGTCCTCGTGTGGGTAAAGTGTTGGGGCGATGGAGCGTGGGTGAGTGGTGGGGGGACAAAATGTCGATTCTTCCTTCACTTCTGTCTCTTCAATGTGTGTTTTCCTCACAGTGCTTACTTGACTGCTTTCCTCTCCCACTTTCGTGTCCCCTCGGGATTGTCCGGTGTAATGCATGGCATTGTGGTGTCTGTCTAGGAAGGAAGGGGTGATTGGCACGAGACAATTCTGGCCCAGCTGATGCTTTCTGCAGCGGGTCCAGATGGATCTGGACTGGAGGAGTCTTTCCTTTCCTTTCTCCCTTCCTCTCCAGCCAGGTCCTGCAAGGGCCAGCCCAGGCTACAGAACATCCACAAAATACTCTGGAGCTTGCAAGTGTACATAGGGTGAGAGCTCTTGCCTCCTTTCATGAGAAACTGTCCTAAGTCTTTGATGCCCTGGGGGAATCTGGCTCTGAGGATGTGGGAAATATCTTGGCTTTTATTTTTAACTTAGGGTCGGGCCTGGGTCTTTTGAGGTCTGCAGGATGGGGTTTTGGAGAGCAGGGTGGGCGGCAGCTCATGCGGAGCTTTTGGAGACCAGTCACGTCTTTTCTCCCATGGTTCGCGGGTTCTTTGCCAATCACAGCAACTTTTCCTGCCAAAGTCAGTATCCTCTGGGGCGGTTTAGAAGGGCAGTTAGATTTAGGAGCCACCACTGATGTTTAAATTGCAAAAGGTAAGAGGCAGAGAAGAGTTCACTAAAATGGCTTATTTTCACATAATTTCACACCCTGTTTAAGAATAAAGACACGTCAAAACAAAATAGTTTTTACATTAGCGTTTATTTCCCAAATGTGAAAAAGCTTGGTGATGAATTTAATCTCTCTCATTGGAGTGTTCTTTTGTTCACAAGGAGAAACTGTCTCATCTTGAAGTCCAGAGAAGTCCTCGGAACCCTGTGGGATCTAGCTCTTAACTGTTTAGATTTAGCTAGTCACTTCTGTCATTTCATTTTCTTTGTAGGGTTAAACAGAAAATGTTTAGAGAAGGAATTCTTAGCCCCTTGACGACCATGATGGCTTGTTCTCTTTTCCAATTTTGCATGCAACATGTACGAATATATGTATGTTTTTCTGAGAGGCAAGTTTAGAGTTCTCATGGGATTTTAAAGAGATAGCTGACTCCCCACCTCAAAGTTACCGGCTTGTCTGCTTCCATGGTAATGGAAGACCTTTTGTTGTGGTTCTCATCCAGCAGTCCTCCTTAGAATCCCCTTTAGAATTGTTGAATCATAAACATGCCTGTGTCCACCTTACGCCTAATACTGACTCACAATCTCTGGCATCTGGGTCTGGACATGCATGTATTTACGTAACTTCCTGGATACTTCTGACATAGCCCAGATTAAGAACTCCACCTTAGGAAGTTAGGTGGAAAAATACTGGGATAGTAGTTCCTCAGACAAAAGTGTCAGCCTAGGAATTCTGAATTTCTCAGTGCTTAAAGGATAGTTCTTTGGGTTTGATGTTTGAGCAGATCATAATATTAAATGATATAACCCTCTGGAAGGCAGGCTGCTGTGTTTTAGAGGGTTATTCTAGGTTCTAGTCCCGTCTTTAATCCTTACCATTGCTGAGCGATGTGGAAGAAATCACTGAATTAAATAATTGTCCCTAGATAGCAGCTGGGGATTTTAAGCACCCTGGAGAGAGCTGCAAACTCTGCAGGATGATAAAGTTGTCATCACAGGCAATAACTCCCTGACCCCGAGTCTTTTACTCCTATGTCCCAAGTAGGATACCAGAGCCAGCTTCTAAAGACTGCTTACCTAGATTCATCTCAAAATTATGTCAAAGATGTAAAGTAACCTGCTATTCCTGTTTAGTGGTTATATAATATGTACTGAGTGTCTTTGTGGAGCTTTGGGCTGGTGGGGGCAGGGACAGGAGAAAGACACACAGAAGTAGAAGAAAAGGTTATCGCCCAGAGGAAGGTTATTTTAAGAGACATGATGTAATTTGTAACAAATGAGCATTTGCAATATAGCAACACTCTGAGTCTAGAAGTGCTCACCAGCACATCGCTTCTCCTGACTTTTCTGTTGTCCTATGGCTACGAGACTACAAGGATTGGGGGATGGGATGCCTCTACCACCACTAATGTGAGAAGGAGATACGTCGGGGAGGCATGTTTGGCACTTTTACAAGGTTGCATTGTCTACATTTGCTCCCAGTTATGTAGCCCAAATGGGCATTCAGTCTTTTCTTCTGCTGTGAGGTGAGTGTAATTCAGAACTAATGAACGAGAAGAGGGAGCACTTTGATCCACAGATTGGATTAACACTGTACCTACTCTTAGCAAGAGGAGACTTGTCTAACAAGCTAGCATTGTGTTAACCTGTCAGTAGCCCCAGCATTAGAGACAGGTCACTTGGATGTTCACTCTGGCTCTCAGCCTGATGTTATGTCCCCACTCTCCCCCGTGCCAGTTTGCTTTCCTCAGAAGAGGAGCTGAGGGGTGTCTTATTATCCTCAGATAGAACATGAGAAATTAGAATTTGACAAGCAAGGGCTTCAGCATCCTTTGGTTTCTAAAGCAAGATCCCTTCAGAGAAGTCCAGCAGGAAGAAACCAGGAGAATGTAGAATGGAAAAGAACTTTTACTTCACATTTTAAAGAAGTTCCATCTCTACTTCTCATCTTTTCTCTCCTGGTCTTCTTACTTGAATGCATGTTGTAGTATATACACATTGCTATGATTGTGCCTATCACAAGTCCTACAATATAAAAATGGACTTAAAAGTACTCTCTGCTGAGGCCATAGGTTTTATGTTATGAGAAATAGATAAAGACATTAGCATTTAACCTACTGGAATAAGCTGGTGGCTGCAGCTTATTACATGTAGTCCCAGATACTTGGGAGGCTGAGGTGGGAGGATCACCTGAGCCCAGGTGTTTGAGACCAGCCTGAGCAACATAGTGAGACCTCACCTCTGAAAAAAATTTTTAAAAATTTACTTGTCTAAAGTGGGGAAAGGGAAATTATTCTGTTTTCTTATTCTTGCTTCAAGTCTATGAGAGATTTGAAAGAGAAATCTAAAGCAGATTTAGAGAACCTGCTTCTCTTCTTATCTCCTAATCCCTAAATTGGAATTTAGCTCTTATCTGTATTGTTTTTGTTTCAGTAAAGGGATGACTTTACACTGAATTGGAAAGTGGAATAAGGAAAGCTCCTAAAACCTTGCACTGTGCTGGGGATCTGCCCTATAGCTTTGGTTCTGGTGTTTTGTTGTTGTTGTTATTGTTTGTTTCCGAAGAAGTTGGAGTTAAGGATACAATATGTCTGTACCCCTAGACGGAATGGCTGAATATTCCATATGAGGATATGCGTAATCCTCTTTGCAACCCACATTTGATCTTCAGAGATGTTGGCGTTTTGAAGAAACATGATATAGCTGTTTGGGAATAAATTCATCTATGTTACTTTTTTTGTGTGAGCAAGAGATCTTAATTGACAGAAACTCCTTGGTGGTTAGGGTGGCCAATGGCAAGGGAAAAAGTATCCAGTAATCAGAAGAACTGCATCTGGGTTATGTAGTCTTATGCATATTTCATGGTCTTTGCCAAGCCCAGAAGCCATATTGTGTTCATTGTCAAGAAATTTGATTGCTTTACCCAGCTTTTCTAGTATGGATTTTGACTTATTAAAAATATATAACGACCTGAACAACATTGGTTGCAACATTGGTGGGTCACCCCTAAGGTAACACAGATATCAGAAGTGTGTCTGGGGATTTAATTTAGACCCATACTGTCTAGGAGATTGTCTTTAGTTGGATCTCTGTGCTGACTGACCAGCAGACTTTAGAGTCTGTGTGCAGACTGGAAGACTCTAGTGGTGTCTATATGTTGGCCAACAGGTAAACTAGTAGGATCTGTGTGCTGACTGACACCAGTAGGATCTGTTTGTCACTCACAGACTCTAGTAGTGTCTGTGTGATGACTGACTGGCTGATTCTAGTAGTGTCCGTGTATTGACTGAATGAGAAACTCTAGTAATGTCTGTGTGTTGACTGACTGACTCTGACTCTAGTATCTGTGTGTTGACTGATTGATACTCTAGTGGTGTCTGTATGTCGACTGACTGACAGACTCTAGTAGTGTCTGTGTGCTGACTGATAGACTAGTAACATCTGGGTATTGCCTGACTATAGAGTCTGTAAGCCGACAGTCACAGTCTGCCTGCTGTCTGATTGCACCCATTGAAGTGTATGTATATGTTTGTAATTCTCTATTAAATGTGTCTAACAAAGAAAGAAATTAAGCACTCCAGATGTTTCCTTTATAGGGGAGTTCTGTATACTATGATTTTAAATAGACATTTCTTGTATAGTAGTAGCCAAATTCTCCTTATTTTGTAAAAGATGAAGGTTGCACATCACTGTTGTGGTATTTTGTGAACTCAGCTAAGGGAATGCCTGTTCAGAGCCTGGAGTTTTTACCCTTACTTGAGATCATCTCATCCACTCCCCTGCTTTAGGGCAGAACTTCACTTTTGCTGTCTGTTTCTGAAGCTCCTGTGTCCCCAGCTTACCCTGTTCTGGAATGCTGCATTCCGTTGGAGAGGGCTGCTGTTTTTAGTCGGCCATGCATTTGGCTTTTACACTGAATCTAATAAATAAAAATGAGAAGGAAATTTGGCGTTCAGAAATTGATTTTAAGGGCTGGCAAAAGTATTTTTTCCAGTAAGCCTTTCATTGGATATCTGTGACCAATGTTTACCTACTCAATGTTTTTGTATCTGAATTGCTTATGTACATTTTTTATTATGTTGACGTAACAAGAAGATCAACTTATGCGGGTATGGTGATGGTTTTGCTATGGCCAAAGCAAAGGGCTGTCCAAATACACAGTGCCCTTTGGGAAGGGGAATTGTGTGGGGCTGAGCACCTCTGGGTTGAATGGGTATGGGTCAGATTGGGTAGCCTAGGAAATAGAGTTCTACTGCAGATTTCCGAGGCACTGCTCTGTTGAAAGTAGGAACATAGGTCTTTAGCAACATTCTGATTTAATCAGGTGTTACTGATAACAAAGGGTGCCACTCAGATCCATTTAAGGTGTTTTAAACTGTATTTGAAATGTGTTTTTGTGCGTGTGTGTGTAGAATGGGTAAATAAAATTGTTGAGTAACTTGAACCTATCAGAAGGCTTCTGGGTTTTTTGTTTTGTATTTTCAGTTGTGTTTCCCATCCCTTCCCCATCCCTAAAACTTTGCCTCATGCTGTGCAAGGATTCAGACTCAGACAAGCCAACAAAGTTCTCACTGTTATTTGAAGACCATGGTATAGCCATGGCTCTCTTCTGCCACCTTCCGGGGAAGATAGGAAGAACATTAGGGAAACTGCATGAACTTCAATAGTTCCGTGTACCTGTTGGTACTTATGCAAGAATTAAAAAACAATTACATTTCATTGCACTATGCAGTAACTCCCATTAGCAACATGTAACTCATGTTATCTATTATAAAGAAAACATTTGCAGATTTTTTTTAGCATTTAGTGGACTGTTGCTCCTAAAATGTGATTTACCCATTTCTAAAGAGATTATGGTTAGTGGTATAAAACAGCATTTCATTTCTTTTGGGACAGGAAATGCAGATGGGATTGTTTTACTGTTCTCAGGCCTTATTCCTTGTTACCTTAACAAGGACCAGAAGCTCATTAGGAATGCAGAATCCTAGGCCCCTTCCCAGGCTTCCTGAGTCAGAATCCTCATTTTACCAGGACCACCAGGTGATTCATATGCACATTTAACATTTGAGAAATACCATTCTTGGGGAAGAATTTCCCACAAGGTAAAATGTTAGATGCCAGTTTATGGGAAGAAGTTGATCTGCCCTGATGACTGATTTCAGAATGGATTCCTATAACTACAACAGTAGGAACCCTCCTCAGAAGCCAAGTAGCCCTGACTACAATGCCACTTTATTGGCATGGTCTTTTGGCTGACATAGCCTACACGACCTTCTTCTACCAAAGGGATCCTGACTGCTTCTGCTTCATATCTTGGGTATGTAGCTTATGGTCCAGGTCTGAAAGGACTGCCTGGTCCAATATAGTCACGAGATCAGCTCCTCAGGGAAAGAAGCCCATGACTACGCCACTCGAGTTTGCCTGACTCCCCAGAGTCAAGGTGTGTGTGTAGGCATGCCAGTGTGTTCATGCATGTGTGTGGATGTGGGGATGAGGAGGTTAAGGGAGGAGGGAAGGTAGGGGAAGAAGTCTGCTCTACTTTTATGTTTGCTGCTTGGCCAGTGGTGTAATAGCTTTATGTCTCTTCCGCTCTGGCTCGTAGGCAGCAGAGACCACACTGGCTGTACGTAGACACCCCTCTGCAGCGTCCCTCATGCTGGCTTGCTGATGATGTGGAGGTTCAGGCCACACCTCTCCAAAGGACTGGGATCTACTGAAAAGCTTGGAATGTCAGCTCCACAGAGGCTAGAACAGGAAGTTAAGTGGGAACTGGACTTTTGGGGCCACCAAAATGAGACCTGGAGAAACATCACCACATTTCCTTCCCTTTTGCCTAATAGGAATATCAGTTATACTGAAAATTAAACTTACCTGTGCCTCAAAACATTTAGCAATGTGAACCAATGACTTTTTATCATCTCTTTGCTGGGTTTGGTCCAAGTTGGTCAATCTCATTCTGTATAGACACTTAACATCCTACCTGTGACTGTCTGCATCCTTTGCTGGCTCTTTTTTTGCCTGGAGTGCACATGCACCTCTTCAGAGTTACTTTCCAAGTGAGAAGACTGAGCTCCAGAAAGCCTTTCCTATGCAGTAAGAGCTGGTCCCTGCATCTGTTCCAGGAGAGCAGGCTAGAGTCCAGTATACATATGCTAGCAGTTACCATTGCCATGTTGGAAACGAGACAAATCACCAGGTGAATGGAGGGTGTTCTGAGAAATTCAGTCCCTAAGACCTCTCTTCTGCAGTGATAGAAGAACAGGTGTCAGTAGCAACCTTTTCATTTGGAGAAGTTTTTCTTGTTCCAGGCCCTTCCAGACAGGATCTGACTACAAGACTCCCCAAAATGGGTACCCATCTTCTAAGTTCCCTTTTGTAATTGCTATAGTTTCTACTTGATACATGTGCCTCTCATAGCTGAAGATGGGGCTGTGTAGCTCTCCTGGGTGGTTGGGAATGTGGGCTAGAGAGAAAAGGAGAGTGCCATTTATATGACATGAGTAAGTCAAGAAAGCTCCCTATCAGGAGTATTTTGGCTTCACAACAGGTAGAAGGATACATGCCCCTCTGTGGGGTCTGTCACCATGATGCAGTCCTTGAGAAAGGTGTGGCTGTGACTTGGAGAGCAGCAGTCTTCTGATACCTGCCCCTTGGCCACTTGTCACTATTGTGGTCACTGGTCTTTCAAGTAAAATTGAGGGTGGCAGGGTTGTGGCCCAGTGCCTCAGTGCATTAGTCATGCAGTTTCTCTTACAGATAAATCAGATAACTCTTTCCCAGTGATTGTCAAATGTATGAATGTATCTCTGTAAATGTGATTTTGACATGTCACTGTTCCTGAAGGAGAGTATGGAATCTCCAAAGGATATTATATCTTGCAAGGGAAGTCTATTTTTTTAAAGAATAGTATGTTTTTAGCTTTATTTTTCTTTCTTTTTTTCCTTTCCACTCAAATGCTCACTTGCTGGGCAAAAGGGTGAGTAGCAAGAAAAGTAATGAAATGTAGCTTTTCTCAAATGGTTCTTTTATACTGTGGATGATACAGGCCTCTAT